CACCGAGAGCAGAGCAACCTAGAGAGAGAGGAGCACCGAGAGCTCCTCCACCGCACTCGTCGTCTTCCTCCTCTCCGATAAGGGAAAGACTCCACCGGTGGTGAGGCAACCTCAGGATTAGCATCGAGCTAACCCCCTACCAAATCTCTTCCTTCCTCATGTACACTCTATTGTAACCCCTCTCATTTTGGGTGCTCTTGACTATAAGGATCATTAGCTGCTGGACGTAGGGCATCGATTGGCCCGAACCAGGATAAACCGTTGCGTTCTCTCTGTGATTCTTGTGTTCTTGAGTCCACCGAGCCATCGGAGATACGTACTATGACACCAACTCGAACAACAATGCTTGCCGTGGTTCGGACCCCGCGACACCGCCCCTCCATCATACTGCGGCGCACAGCGGCCAGCGACATCCACACGCACCGCGACCAGGGGAGAGGAAGAAGCGACGAAGCGATTCAATCGACGCGCGTAGCTTCCGGTAGGGCTAAGCACTGCACCTGCGCGCGTCGCAGCCGGGGAAGAGGAAAAAGGCGTGAAAGCGAAGGCGGAGGCGGCAAGGTACGGTGTTTCTTTGGCGGAGGCAGCGAGGTCTGTTTTCTGGTTTTTTTATTTACTTTGGCAGGTTAGGAGACGGGGCAGAGTTATTTTGACGCGAGAAAGAAGGGCTGGAAGTGGACCCAGCAGGACCCGTGGCCTCCAATTGCTGGGGCGGCACGTGTCGTGCAGGTATTAGTCAACATGAGTCTAAATCAATGGGAAGGCTCTATTTTATTCGCGTTTGAAGAAGTATCTATTTGGGAGGCATGCTTTAGTTAGTGTTGCTGGAGAAAACTAAAATAGGTGGCTACCCAAACAAACAAGGAGATGGTCTGTTTTGGTTAGCATTGTTAGAGATACTCTAAAAGCAATATCTAGAAACATCGAAACATCTTATACCTTGGAACGGAGGGAGCACGTGACATGATTTTTTATCTGTCTTTTATGGTGAGACAATTTGCAAAATGTCTAAAATACCATCGATTAAACACATTTTTTCTACCCTATAGGCTATAGTACAATTATGGTCACCTTTACCTGGTCCACAAACCTATTGAAAACATGGTCTCTACAAGGTTTTCCCCGCAGGGGTGAAGAAAGCTCATGCTATTGACATCCCTAGTTGAAAAGCATCTTTGTGCTTCTTTTTTTAAAGGAAAAAAAAAAAAAAAATATGGTGCGCATTGTCATCGAGATCATATGCTGGCCGTGCAGCCCTATCCTATGAATTATGATTGCTCCTGCAAATTGACCTATCATCTCCCGGAGATGTGAGGCCACCGATCACACCTCACCTGTTTCCCCTTGTTTTGATTCCAAGGAACTCCAAGTCTCCAACACTTAGTTTAGGCGCACGTATTCGTCTCTGCATTCGCCTGATCCTGACTATTGACGCTGTCGCTTGCCGTTCCCTCTTGTCTGCTTTCCTGCTTTTCGAGGTTCTGTTACGTAGTGGCCGTGGCCGACGTCGACCTTCTGTTCTCGCTTTGCCGTCACACCACACGTATCACTTACAAATGGAACGTGTTCATGAAAGTTCTGCGACTATAACTAGCTGTATCCAGAAAGACTAAAGCTGTTAAGCGTATTTCTACCATCCTCCGTCAAGCTGGCCACCTCCGACTACTCAATGCAGTGTTCTCGTTTCAAAAAAAAAAATCGTTTCAAAAAATGCAGTGTTCAGTGCCCTCCCAACGTTTGCTATGTCTACTTATCTACTTCCAAAGACTGTTATTAAACAAATTGATAAATTCTGAAAGCATTGTCTGTGGCGTGGTTCAGATGTAAATAATAATAAGAAGCCACCAAAGACAGCTTGGCCAATGATTTGTGACACAAAGGTAAATGGTGGGTTGGGAGTCATCAATTTACAAACTCAGAATCAGAGCTTGCTCCTAAAAAATCTGCATAAGTTCTTTAACGGATTGGACATCCCTTGGGTTCATCTTGTTTGGGAAGCTAGATACTCTAATGGTAAGCCACCATCTAGAACTCGTAAAGGATCCTTCTGGTGGCGTGATATTCAGAAATTGTTACCTGCTTTCAAGGGAATGGTCCGAATGGCAATGGCCACTGTTAATAATGGGTGTTCATGTTTCTTTTGGTTAGATTCTTGGAATAGTTTCTCATTCAGTACAAGCATGCCAGAGCTTTTCTCCTTTGTGAAGGATAAATACATCACTGTACACCAGGTTTTCCAGTCACCTACTCTCCATGATCTTTTTTATCTGCCACTATCTAAAGAAGCCTATCAAAAGTTTATTCAGCATTCAGTCATTGTGCAATCCTTAGACTTGCAAGGAGGATTTGATTCTTGGGTGTATATCTGGGGTTCTAATATTTTTACTTCAAAATGTGCATATGTGAAACTAACTGGTACCACGCATGTTCATCCTGTCTTCTCTTGGCTATGGAAATCCTGTTGTCAAAACAAAAGAAAAATTTTCTTCTAGCTATTGCTAAAGGACAGGCTTAGCACAAGAGAACTCCTGAGAAGGAAAAGAATGGTGTTGGAAGATTATAATTGTGTCCTTTGTCAACCAGCTGTGGAAGAATCTCTGATTCATTTGTTTCTAGCTTGTCCTTTTTCTCAATCTTGTTGGGCTACTCTGGGTCTGATTATTCAGCAGCCATCTGATCCATATGGAACCCTGGTGTCCTTCAAAAATCAGCTCTGACTCCCTCTTTTCTGAAGATTATAGTGACAATGACTTGGTCTATCTGGACTGTTAGAAATGATGCCATATTTAAGCAAGTGCAGCCTTCAATTGTCCATTGCAGATCAGTCTTAAGAAGAGAGTTTGCTTAAGTTATTCTTTTTTGAGTTAAATGCATGGGTGGTCCATCAACTTGCGCTCTAGTTTTACTTAAAGTCCATCAACTCTGAAAGTGAGTTTTTGGTCCATAATCTTTGTTGGTGGTGCATTCCTAGCACATACCCATTTATTTTAATTTTTTAACCGACGTGGTTGTCCATCGTGGTGTCCAGGTTGGATTTGGCGGGAGTTTTGGCCCTTAATGGTTTTGGGGTTTTACCGGCGAGGCCATAGGCGGAGACGACGCAGGTCTAGATGACGGTGTTCTCCTGTCGCGTAAAGGGCTGCTTCAGGAAGCCCATGCTCACGATTGCTTTCGTCCAGAGGCGGACGAGGAAGAAGCCGAGAAGGCTGGCGGAGACGTTGAGCGAGGGGATGACGCCGGTGGTGAGATTCAGCTTCATTACGATGACGCTGAACAAGATGGCGAGGATGAACCCCACCACGAAGGCGCGCACCGTCAGCTGCTCCCGCCACGACGGCACGGGCTTGTCCGCGAACGCCTGCTCCACCGAGGCCACGACCACCTCCTCGGCATTGCTGCCCCCGTCGTCGTCGTCGTCCGCGCCCGCAAGCCCGCCGGCGTGGCGTCGCCGCAGCAGGCTGGCGCCTGACTCCAAGGCGTCGGCTCCCGCGTGGGCGGCAGGGTCGCCGGAAGCGCTGGCGGCGGCGGTGCCAGTCGCCATGGTGGTTGTCTAATGGTTCGTGATGGCTCGGTTGATGCTTGGTAATCGGCGTATTTATTGGAAGGCAGTTGGAATCCAGTTGCGTCACGATCAGGCTCCGGGATTCTGGTGGGCACTGGGCTGGCGCTGGTAACATACAGTTGTTGGGTGTTGGTACCATAATGCTGACGCGTATACGACTAGTGTACTTACTCATGTACAGCAAAAGCAGATCGTGACGAAACAACATTTACCCGTCCCGGTACATTTTACAGCATGGTGCATCAACACAATATACACTTGTGATTCATGCTGACTGCTGACAGATCGTAATTTTCACAGCTTAATTTCCGAGGAAGCCGTCCACTTGGGCGTTCACCGACCTGGACAGGAACTTCATGCAGATCGGCGGCTTCACCTTGGCGAGCGCAAGAATGGACTGCGGCAGGGTCCAGATGCCATCGCCGCAGATCAGCCCTGACGCAACCGCAGGTCCGAAGGCGTCGGCTTTGGCCCTGTTGATCATCTGCCACGCGAAGAGGATCACGGTGCCGACGAACATGTCGATGGCGAAGTAGGACCCGATGTAGAACGGGATCGCCATGGCCATCGGCAGCGGGATGAACCTGGCGACCTTCTTCGGCACCAGGTCCCTGATCAGGTTCACGACGATGGCCGCCGCGAAGAAGATGTAGCAGAGGGTGAGGCAGTTCTTGGGGAGCGACGAGAAGCCGTCCACGCCGAGGATGGCCATGTTCCGGTACACGATGGCGTACGGAGCCGGGTACTCGCTGCCGCTGATGCCGATGTCGGTGAAGGCCTTGTAGAAGAGCCAGAAGACGCAGGGCGCGATGACGCAGCCCATCGCCGTGCCGATCACCTGGCTGATGAACATCGACCTGGGCGACGCCAGCGTCAGGTACCCGGTCTTGAAGTCCTGCATCAGGTCGGCGGCCGTCGACACGATGCTCATCATCACGCCGCAGGCGGCCAGCCCCACGAGGACGCCGCCGTTGGACGCGCCAGCCCACGCGCCGAAGATGAAGATGGCTGCCTGCAATTTTACCCAATGCCCTCCACCCAAATGACCTGGAGGATAATCTTCAGGGCAATGAGTGCACTGATCAGCTATGCAGACGTGACGAACAGGAGTGGTTGACTGAGAAGGAGACGAAATGGCAGCAACGGAAAGGGGCCTGTGGGCTGTGGTGGGCCTGGTGGCGCCCTGCCCTGAGTGCTCTGTGTGTGCCGCAGCTGCTGACCGGGTCCACTGGCAGGCACACAAGCCAGGCTTTAATGCGAGGTGCGGCCTCCATTTGGGGTCACCAGTCGCCAGTCGATACTTCTTTGTTCTTTCTCGTCTTCGTCCTCGCAATTGCAGAAGCAGAAAGGCAGCAGGGTGCTGGAAGGAGTTTCTGGTTGGGAGACTCGGTTGAGGCTGCCATTTGCCAACTGAGAGGCTGGGGATAGCAATGGTGTGATGTCCGGTGGTGATCGGGTGGTTCTTGACTTCTTGCAGCTGCAGACAGCTTGTCGATTCGTTGGTTCAGGAGCAGACATGGACAGAAGGAACAGAGCAGCTTCGTTGGTGAGTCTCTCTTTCTTTCCCTCTCTCTGTCCCTCTCCTCCTCTGCTTCTGTTCATCTCATGGATTACATATATTCCTTGCTTATCTGCATACATGCCATCGTTGGATTGCTTTAGTCGAGCAGGTTTTTGGAAATCTCTGACGATGTTTCTGGGTTCTGGCCTGTAACGGTAAGCCTGTTGTTCTTAGTCAGACAGACAATCAGTTCACCATACTGTATTTTCCCATCGATCGATCACTTTGAAGGTGTTTTGGTCGGTTGGACTTCATAGAATTATAATCTAATTCAGAATAAACACACGAGGAAAAAAGGGCCAAGCAATCTTGTTCTGAACTCAGATGGAAGTCTGTTAGCGTCTGTCAGTATGAGCATCTAGATATTTTCTTACGGCGACTTTTCCATCTGAGAATTATTGACGTTCTTCTAGAAAAGATTATGCTTTTTTTAATGTAATCGCACATAATTCTGCGCAGAGTAGAACAAGTGAATTCAGTTTACAAATCATTTTCATTTGACCTGCGGAAAATTCATTGAGCTGCTTAGTTGCATGATAATACGGTCACCACTGCTTCCTCTGGAGAAAATGTATTGATGTGAACATATCATCAGCGCCGTTGCTAATGCCCTTCGATCCTTCATGGTGAAACTTGCATGACGATGCCATCAAACTTGGTCCCCCAGATGGTAGTTGTTCAACTACTTCTGTAGTAAGTAGTTGCTGTTTCATGACACAATTCAGTGTCTGTCTCATGCTCTTGTCTGATCACTCTAAAGTTTCATGAACCAATCACGTCTGTGGGAAAATAAGCACACTCAATTTAATTCCCAACAACACCAATTATGGTGCTTCTAGTTCATAATAATCTTCTTTTATTTATGATTTGGCCTACCTCTTGACAGTTTGTTGAACAACCTAACAATTTCTGTTTCTTGTGATGGCTCGCCGCAGGTTGACACCTCTGCATGCTTTTGCCGGGTGGACAGATCATCCGCCGCCGCCGCGGCGAGGAGAATCCCGGTGTCCAAGGCGTGCGTGCAACCGAGCCTCAGGGCGTCCATCCACCCGCTGAAGCCGCGGCCGAGCACAGGCGCAGACCGGAGCAGCCGCGGAGGGCAGTGCCCGCTGCTCCCGGGCCTTCCGGACGACCTCGCCATTGCCTGTCTCATCCGGGTGCCCAGAGCTGACCACTGGAAGCTGAGGCTGGTGTGCCGGAAGTGGTGCCGCCTGCTCGCCGGCAACTACTTCTACGGCCTCCGCCGGCGGCTCGGGCTCGCGGAGCAGTGGCTGTACGCCGTGAAGCGCGACGGCAGGGACGGGCGCGTGTCGTGGGACGTGCTCGACCCGTCGCGCGGCGCGTGGCGCGCGCTGCCGCCCGTGCCGCGCGAGTACGCGGAGGCCGACGGGTTCGGCTGCGCCGTGCTCGGCGGCTGCCACTTGTACCTGCTCGGCGGCAGGGACCCACGCAGGGGCGGCGGCGCCATGCGCCGGGTGGTGTTCTACAGCGCACGGAGCAACCGGTGGCACCGCGCACCGGACATGCTGCGCCGCCGGCAGTGCTTCGACGTGTGCGTCATGGGCAACCGCCTGTACGTCGCGGGCGGCGAGAGCGGCGGCGGGGGAGGGCTCAGGTCTGCCGAGGTGTTCGACCCGGCCAAGAACCGGTGGTGCTTCGTGGCCGAGATGGCCGCGCCGATGGCGCCGTTCGTCAGCGCGGTGCACGGCGGGCGGTGGTACGTGAAGGGCATAAGCGCGCAGCAGCAGCAGGTGCTGAGCCAGGCGTACTCCCCGGAGGCCGACGCGTGGTCCGTCGTCCTCGACGGCATGGTCACCGGCTGGCGGAGCCCCAGCGCGTGCGTCGACGGCCGGCTCTACGCTGCCGACTGCAAGGACGGCTGCCGGTTGAGGGCCTACGACGAGGCCGCGGACGCGTGGACCACCTGCGTCGACAGCAAGCAGCACCGAGGGAGCTCCCAGGCGGCGGAGGCGGCCGCCATTGTCGCCCTCCACGGAAGGCTCTGCGTCGTCCGCAACGACATGAGCGTCTCGGCCGTCGACGTCGCGGCCGGGGCAGGAAACCAGCGGTGGCAGACCCTCGCCGGCAAAGCGCGTACCAAGAGCTTCGTCACGGGCCTGCTGTCCAACCTCGCTGGCCGCAGCCGCGCCAAGAACAACATCCTCCACTGCCAAGTTCTTGAGGCCTAGCTGACTTGCTGCTCCATGAGTTATTATGCTTCGAAGTTACTAGAATTAGAATCACACACTGAAAAAGTACATGAGGAAAAGTGAGAATTCTCCATGTTTGCTTAAGAGTACTAAAACGCGAGAATTACAGGCATCTGAAGGATGTGATCGTTGTACACATACAGTTTATATGATATACAGTGTACAGATTGATATTATCACATTATACACTTTTTTTTTGTTTTCTTATTTCCTTCAGTCGCTGTATCTTCAAGAGAAGACTTGACCTGGTAAGTGACCATTAAAACATGTGTTCCCGACCTGACAAGTTGTCCCAGGTCAACGTCCGGAATTAGGTGCAGCCATGGATCTTCTGGTCTCATTCTCACGCCCTCACATCTGAGAATAGGATCATCTTGTATTTTTCTTCTGATAAAATCAATACTCAAAATACCTTTCCTTGACGTTAGCAATGCAGTCCGTATCACTGTAGAGAGTGGAACGGTTGGACGAGTGTTATCGTAGGACTAAGGACCATGGACAACAAATAGAAAATTCATGCAATCAACCACTCTGATATTGAAGAAGATTATGAAAACAGAAAATCCGTATCCATATAAGATAACATAAGTATACTTCTTTTTAGCATATTATAACATAAGAAGCAAATTGCACCAACAATCCCCAAACTAGTTCAAAGGTGCAAAAGGATCTATAGTCTAGTGGTTACAAGAGACTCAGTAGCACCTCAAGTTCTGTGCTAGACTCCCCATAGGAACAATTTGTTTAGGATATTTGTGCTGCACAAGCTCCAAATATTAATAATTATCATATGCCTGCATATGTGGCATGCCAATGTAGAAGGCTAACGCACATTTTTTTAAGGCTATACCAACTCTCCATGGCATGCCAATGTACCGTTTGGATTTGAAGACTACATTGGCATACCAACTCTCCATGGCATGCCAATGTACCGTTTGGATCCACCCAGCTGGCTATTAGTTGTGTTAGTTAGAAAAAACAATAATTGTTAGCTAGGTGATAGGTAAGACATTACCTGAGATTCCAATAGATCCTCAACTTTTAGTTGTATGGATCCAAAGAAGCACTGACTCTATATTTTATCCCAAAACGATGACTTTACAGGGATAGGTAAAGGTCGCCTCAACAATCGATGGTCGGTTCGTGAAGATCTTTATTAACTCCAAGTCATTGTGTAAGAGCATCTCCAATAGTTCCATGAAACCACTAGTAAATCAATAAGCTTTCCAAGTAGCTAAAAAAGTTGGGAGTATATTTGTTGGGTTCCTCCAATCATTTTCAAAATCTCGCTCATAAAAGATAATCCCTCTATTTTAAACTATAAGACATTTTGACTTTTCTAAATATATCAATTTTACTATGTATCTAGGCATGGTGTATATCTAAGTGCATAACAAAAATTGCGTAACTTGAAAAGCAAAAGCATCTTTTAATTTGGAATAGAGATAGATTAGGACACGACAAAACCAAATAAAATGTCTTTAAGCTTCTAAATTTTTTGAGAAAAATCTTAGAGATAGATCATGATACGACAAACCCAAATAAAAAATTTAAAGCTCTTAAAATTATTTACGAAAGCTTCTAAGAATAGATTTAGGTTTAGAAAAAATGGAAAAATATATAGAAAATTTGGAAAATTCTCAAGACGTTTTATCAATATATAAATATGTTTTAGAAACTTTTCACAACAACATTAAAATTAAATGTATGCAATGTTATTGTTGGTTCCAACTCACATTTTTGTTATGGAAAGTTTTGGAATGCCCTTAGACATCAATTAGAATGTTCAAGATTTTTTTAGATTTTCTAGATATTTTCATATGTCCCTAGAGTTAATTATAGTTTTTAAAAGCTTTTGGAGATATTTTTCACAAGCTCCAAATATTTTATTTGGGTCTTCTCAATATATCCCTATAATTTTCTCATATTTTTTAGAAACTTTCATTTTTCGTGGTTTAAAAATCTTATAAGGTATTTGCGAGAAATTTTTTAACTCAAAAAGATGAAATTGCCTTGAAACCACTTCTAACCCTAGAAGGGATATAGTTTAAAGATTTTTGAAAGTTGAGAGGCAATATATACCAATTTTGGAGCTTGATGGGGAAAATCAAGGTCCGCATAACCGGTCCCGTGTCACGGTACAATTTCGGGTCTCGAGTAAGCTCAGCCCGGCCCGGCCCATGAATCCAGCGAGCGTGTGGCTTCGAAGTCTCACGCGGGGCCACCGGTCAGCGACTCAGGCTCTCGATGGCCTGAGCGGCCGCTCCCCCCACCGCTTCCACGCTCCCCTCGCCCGCAGCCGCTGGAAGAAGACGAATACGACGGTAGTGCGGGGTGGCGTCGCCGCCAAGAGCACCAGCTGTAGCCCGCGCCTAGGCCTCTGCGCCGCTCTCCTCGGCCAACACGCCGTCATGCTCGCGGCGTCAGCGCGGCGGCTGTCCGCCGCCGCCTCGTCTTCGTCTTCTTCCATGCGCGCCAGCCAGCTCGCCGCCGCACCGAACCCACAGGTTAGGGCGCGTCGAGTGGGCCGTGGGTGGATCTCATCTGATGATAGCCACGTTTTATACTGGTGGCGCTGGTGACGAGCAGAAATGCTGACGCGGTTTATTTCGTATTTTGGTGTCTGGTTGCAGAGGTGGATGCACGACAGGAGCAAGAAGGCGATGGAGCTGGTGGCCAAGGGATGGAGTGCGCTCCAGGAGGTCGACCGCGTCATCGACTACGCCGACCGCAACGACAAGCGCCTCATCCCGCTTCTAAGGGTACGGCTTAGGGTTTATCTTCCTTTCTGCCCCCATTTCTCCACAATAAGATGAGGGAGCACCTAATCCACTCAAAAAGGTTCATTGATTGTAGCCTAGTAGGTGAAATTTGTGATATCTCCAGCATTGGCAGAGAACTTGGGGGAGTTCACTAGATATTCCCTGAATTAATCAGCTGGAGTTGTGGAATGGAGATATTCCACCAGATGATTACACTGACCTTGTTCTTTAACCCTCTTTAACCTTCTAAGTGTACCTCTCATGGCCACCTGACTGACACTGTTTTTTTAAACTAATGTCTTAATATCTCGTTTTACAAAACTTTCATGTCTAAAGGGCGCTAAGGAAAACTTTGAGCTGGCTTTGGAGATTGACAATGATAATACACATGCGAGGTATTGGCTGGGCAAAATGCATTTCAAGTATCATGTTCCTGGAGCTTGTAAGGCAGTGTGAGTAACTTTACTTCTTGTAATTCTAATGTAGTGCTGATTTTTTGTCATATAAATTATGTTGCTGCTATGTTCTGTTTCATTGCTTCCAGGAACATGGAAATGCACGAAAATAGTTTCATCAATGCTTTTGTTGTTTTGACAAGTCTTTTACATATTTCTTTTAAGTTGATTGAGTCCTAAACCAATGATGAGTGCATGGTAGAACAATTATCAGTGTTATGGTTTCAGAAACTCGATATTGATTATGCATCCTACATTAGCAGGCATGCTGCTCATCGTATGTTTTCTGCCATATGATACCACTATGTATCATTTTCTAGGGTTGTGAATTAGCTAGCAGAGTTGGCAACTGATTCATATGTGCCTAATATCTATCAGAGTTACTAAATCCGTTCCAAATTATAAGACATTTTAGCTTTTCTAGATACATTGTATTGTTTTACTATGTATCTAGACATAGTGTATATCTATATGCATAGCAAATGCAACGTATCTCGAAAAACCAAAACATCTTATAATTTGGGACGGAGGGAGTAGTTAACAAGACTTTCGTAAGTCTATTTCAAAATTTAACAGTGTTATAATTAGTTAAATTCTTTTTTTAGGCCTCGCAATTTGTTTAAGCCATGCATTCACATACTGATTTTGTTATCGATATAGCTAGTATGCTGAGCAGCACATGTTTTATGCTAGACAACTATTTGTGTCCTATTTCCATCCAAAAAGTGTCACTGCAATTGAAAGTTTAGTGTATAGAAGTGCCGAGTTTTGTACTGTGATGCAACTATGCCTAAGGATCTTGATCAATGGTTACAAGCTATAGGGTAGCATTAGAGAAATAGTAAGTGGTTGAAATCTCATCAGTAACCCACAAGCTGTGAGAAGCCTCAATAGTAATCCGCAATCACCATTCACTAATCACTGTTGTGTAGTCTGTTTGAAGTGGTTGAGATTTGGCTGTTGTAGGTTGCTGCGAACAATATATTTATGTTGAGCACGCAAGAATAGTATTATGCACCATTTAGTTGCTTCAAATTTGCTACCTCAGCATTCAATTGAATTACATTGGGAGACAAGTGCCTTGGGATTAGCAACTCGACATAAAAACAAATTGCAAGAGATGGGGCTGAAGTTGGACCATCTTAAAATCTGCTCACACGATTAGGCCACAAAATACTATAGGAAGTAAAATCGACCTTGCCTATGGCTGTCTTCTTTTTGGAACATTTGTTTTTGTTGCTGCCATCTCATGATACATGATGTGGACTCAATTGAATTCCATGTGAATTAAAATCTGCTCCCTTTTCATGTGTGCAGTGGTGCTGCTTTGTTGGTTGAAGCTGCAAATATGGGTGATCCAGATGCACAGTATGAACTTGGATATCGACTAAGAATTGAGGTTTTCACAGTTCATACCCCCTGTCCCTTCCGCTCATTGGGTTCAACCACCTAGTTTTTTGTTAGCAATGGCCATTTGATATTCATGGAATTTGTGTTCATTTTAATTGATGGTTTTTCTCTGTTGCTCTTGTAGAATGACTATGTTCTGTCAGATCAACAGGCTTTCCATTACATTGAGCAAGCTGTTGATCAGGTATGCAGTATGCTGCTTACCTGAATACTGATCCTGTGCTTTCTGACATGCCATTTGTCAGGACTATTTTATTTTGACCTGAGTCCCTGATTGCAGCTGCACCCTGGCGCTTTATATCTTCTCGGTGCTGTATATCTAACTGGGGACTGTGTTAAGAGAGATATAGCTTCCGCGTTGTGGTGTTTTCATAGAGCTTCAGAAAAGGTGTCAAGTTTTTCCAACAAAACTAAATAATTGATAGTATGATATGAATTACATGCTCAAAGTTCAGTTTCTCGTATACATAACTTGATTGTGGTTTGTGTTCTGAGACTTGAACTCTGACCATCACCAGGGACATGCTGGTGCTGCTGTCGCATATGGATCCTTGCTTCTTAAAGGTTTGTGAGATAACTATAGCGTCTGGGTAACTTAGTTACCATTATTGTATCATTGATTGTGGAATATTGGTTATTTTTGGCATTCTAAAGCATGCAACATCTTATTACAAATTAATTATTCGTTCCACCTAACATTGCAATTGTTTTCAGGTGTTGAAATACCTGAAGTGATTACAAGATTCAACTCAGGCAAGAGTCCATCAACTGGGAAAATGCGGAAAAGGAACCTGCAGCAGGATTCAATAAAGCTAGCTAAAGCACAGTTTCAAGTTGCAGCTGAGGCAGGCTGTGATCTCGGTTTGCGGTGGTTGAAGAGGCTTGAAGATTATGAAAACCAAGAAGAAAAGCTAAAGCAGATCCAGCATTGACATCCACTGAAAGAATCTCATTGCGTTTTTCGCATCCAAGTATAGTATATGGCAGCACGGTTGTTGCACACAGGTATTACCAATAAATTTTTTCCCTGTCTTTCACTATGTAGGAGGCCGTTTGATTCTAGGATGTTCTGGTCAACTGAAATTGCAGGGAACTCATACTGAAATTTTGATCTTTAGGCTAACTGGTTGGACTGTAGGTGCTTGAATGTTCGCTTTTTGTGATGTATTAGCGTGGAAATTACTGGAAACTATGATTGCGAAAATTCTTCAGTTGTTTTCTCCCCTGTAATAATTTCCTGTCCTAATCTGTATGTCGATAGCACTTTTTTTTAAGCTGTATGTTCATGAGGTGCCCTTTCAAGTGGATACATTTGGAAAACGAAAATGTTTGCGCATTATGACAATCTTCGAGTGGCAATTGCTCGTTCTCATCTGCCCCAAAAGAATGTCATTCTAGTTTCAAACCACCTGATATTTGACTAAGTTTATTAAAAAAAAGAAATGATATTTATAATATTAACTAAGTGTTATTATATTCATCATGAAATATATTTTCATAGTATAGGTTTTGGAATGGCATTTTTGGTGATTGAGGGAGTGTGAATAGTGGCTATGACGCTAAAAAAAATGCTACTCAATCAAGCGGGTGGTAAATTGTTACTTTAGATACAACTATCTCCAAGAGTGTTCATATTTAACTTCCTATTGTAAAAAAAAAAAGGTTTATACCAAAAGAAACTCCAACAATAATCTTATTCTTATCCAACGCCCAAAATTTAGTGGCATCCTAAATTATCCTCCTTCCATCTCAAATGTGTTTTCCTGCCCACGGGAAAAAAAAGGTTGGCGACCGGGTGGATTTCAGGATTTTGTGTTTATGGTGAAAAAAATAATGCTCATGAACAAGAACAACTACGACTATAGCTTGTTCGCTTGTTGGTTTCAGCCAGTCCAAACCAGCACCAGCACCAACCAGCGAACAGGCCCGTATGCTATCATGTGTCACTGCAACCTGATGCGACTACGTGGTAGTGCAATACTAAGAATACACACAAAAAAAAAGAATACATGGTTGGCGAATCGGACAAGCTAGCGCCCGGACGTTCGGCCCTAGGCCCCGTCCGGACGCTGCTCCCCGCGCCCTGCGCCTGCTATGTGTCGCCCGCCCCGCTCACTCGGGTTCTGCGTCACTCGAACGACTCATGCCCCACTCAGGCCGCTCGCCCCCCACGCCGCCCGCTGCTCCCTGCGCCCCGTGCCTGCTCCACGCCGCACGGCCCATTCGCTCGGGTTCCGCGCCACTCGAACGACTTGTGCCCCACCCACGCCGTCCGCCCCCACTCGGGCCTACTCCACCCAAGGCGAGCAGAGAGATGCAACACCCAATCTACTTTTGAAATATCCAAATAAAACATTTGCAACATACATTCAAAACAGTTGAAACACTTGCATCATACGTCTGAAACACTTGTAAAAACACATGAAAACGCTTGAAATCAATTGCAAAATATATGCAACATCTAGATAAAACACATGCATCACATGTGTGAAACACATGCAACATCCAAATAAACACACTTGCAACATATGTCTGAAAAAACAGACGTTTGCAACATAAGTGTACAACCATTGCAACATATGCAACATCCACATGAAATACTTGCAACATACCTCTGAAAAAACTGAAACACTTGAAACATACGCTTACAACATGTCAAGTGTAACACTATAGTGGGCGGCGACCACTTTTGTCAAGCAAGCCTCGAGGCAGCCGAGCAGGAGGTAGGGGCGAATGAGGGCTGGGGTGCGGTCACGGAGGAGAGCGGCGGTACAGCAGCAGCGTCTGGATGAAGTCCTTCACCTGCCCTGCCTATCGAAGCGGTGCGTCCCGGATCCTGGACCAGGTACCGGCGCCGGTGCAATGGCGGGGCCTGGCGCCATGGCGTCCCACACGAGAAGCGCCGGCGGGGCACCTAGCAGTGCGCGTGGGTCCGAGGATAGGGCCAGGCTTCCTGGGGAGGCGGTGTGTGAGCCATTCACCTCGGGGGCGCCCGTCGGGAGCGCCGCGGAGATCGACGCCAGGCTGCAGCGACGGTTGAAGGCCTCGTGCACGGAGCGCGGGGCCGGGAGGCGGTCGACGCCGTGGACTAGGGGAAAGTGGGATTCGACTGGATCTGGTAGAAGAGCCGGCTTGCAGAGTGGGATATTTTTTTTACCTAAGTATCTAATGGGAGTATACAATACATGGACATACCTAAGTATCTAATGGGAGTATACAATACATGGACACCGTGAGACCACGTCGCGTCTAGCGTCTGGATGCGGGACATACGCTCGCGGTGGGGTATCGTTGGCGAATTGAGGTTTGGATGAGAAAAGATTGGAGCTCGGTTTGCCTTTACCACGGTAATTCCGTAAATGATAACGGTGAAAGCATATCCTTCTATCCAAGTGTAGGCTAGCTAGGCCAACTCCAAATTACCAACCCATGCTGACCCTATATTTGACTCGAGAGCGAAGAGAAGACAGTGATCCAGTGCGTGGTAGTTTTCCGCGGAGAAAGAATGCATGATCATCAGCCACGGACGATGAGGTGCGTGTGGCCTGACGCGGACCCTATACCATGTGTCGTCGTAGGAGAGCTTTTGATCGATGCGGCCGGCAAAGCACGACCGGACAGCGACCCAGTACCGAACCATTGAATTTAAACAACGGCAACGGCCGATTTATTAGGAACGACAATCCAGTGTTGCACTTTGTGCAATTTTAGGGGCAGTTCACTGGTCTGGTTTGACCAGCCAGCCGGCTGTTTCCCTCTCAGTTTACTGTTCATCAAACCAGCCGAATAATATTTTTCTCTCACAACAATTCAGTCGAAATAGTGTTTTTCAGTCAAGTTTCAGACCAGCGAACGGGGCCTTAATGACAAACTACTTTTAATTGATGGAGATTTTAATGTTATTGGTAGGCCATTTGAAAAAAAGTAAAGATAAATATAATGATAGGTAACTTTTTTCTTTTTAATGCTTGTATTGAAGAAGAGCTCTATTATAAAAAAAACCGATCCGCGGTGGCTAGATAGCCCCGATGTTCCTCCGGCTTAAGAAGAAGATCTTTGTTAGCTGTCCTGCGGTCGAAGGCACAAATAAAGACCCTCAGGACTTGTTGTATTGAAGAAGAGCTCTATTATATAAAAAAATCGATCCGGTGTCTGGTTAGATAGCACTCTTGTTCCTCCGACTTAAGAAGAAGATTTTTATTAGCTGTCCTGCGACCGAAGGCACAGATGAAGATCCTTAGAACTCGAACTCTGACCACCCTAGGGAGATGTACTCAGCCAGCATTGACCACTCGGTCAGCCAGGCCGTTCTCGGAAGAGCTCTATTATGGTCACAATGATTACCAAAGCTCAGAAGGTAAGCATGGCAGGCCATCAATTTCAATTGCCTCCCATGTCAACTATTCCTAAAAGTAAACAGATTTTTTTTTTTGCCAAGGAACATAAAAGAAGTATCTTGTACGACCAACTGCAGAGAACAGAAGGCCTTGCACCTCAGGAACTTAGTCCTCTACTTGGTTTAGAGCCCTAAGGGTATTTGGATAGAAAAATCACTAAGAATCTCTCTGTGCATATAATAAAAAATAGGACGCGCCAGTGTACTAAAGTTAAAAAAAACAAAGAGACAGAAACACATATTTATTTATATTAAATGAAAATATAAATACAGGTTCCTGATGTATTTGCTCTCCACAAGTAGCATGCATGTGGTGCTGGTGTAGATGTAGGTAGCGTCGATAATGATCCATGGTCTTCTCGGTCGGACGGTACAACATAGCTGCAACATCAGCTATGCCCGTCTGCGTCGTTCACCTCGTCAGTATCGAACGACGTAGTGGTGGTTGTAGTAGTAGAACATGCATAAAGACTGTAGCTGGGCCGTCTCGGACGTCCTCGGCAGCATCGGTGAGGTAGAACTTGTTGAAGAAGGTCCTGCCAACCCATGAATCGGTGTAGCGCGGCTAGACTGTCAGCTTCACCTGCCTAGAACGTCAGCTGCCCACCCGCGTCGTCGGTGTCGGCCGGCACGTAGGCCGGTACGCAAGGGTGAAGCTAACGTAGGCCGGTACGCAAGGGTGAAGCTAAATAAAAAGCTTAAGGGCTCGTGTACGCAGAGGCCAAGCTAAATGAAAAGTTTGAGGGCTCGAGACTTTGATTCTTAAAAAATATATGAGGGCGAAGCTAAATGAAAAGTCTAAGGGCTCAAGACTTCGACCCTCCAAAAACACTTGAGGGCGACGCAAAAATAAAAAGCCTAAGAGCTCTCACCTAAATGAAAAGCCTAAGGGCTCAAGACTTTGACCTTCAAAAAATGTCACTAGTACAACAGAGCTCATTATTGATGGTTCCAAAACTATTTCTACAGGTGTCTGTCAGCACCGCCAGTGGCAAAGGCCAGTGAAAATCACGAACTTCACAGACGTCTTCTAGAGAACCGCCACTACAAATGATTTACACTGATGAAACCGCCACTACAAATGATTTTCAAAAATTGCAAATCGAGCTCAAAAAATAGCAAAAAAAATTAATCCGATGAGGCCCCCACCAGTCAGCCACCTGCCTGCTTCGTCAAATTCACAAGTCACGACACTTTTCGCGCACTTCGCGGCCAGCAGGATTAAAACCCGCGACTTCCCCTCGCGCAATACTCCTATAACCACTACACCTCACACTCACTTGTGTCTATAATGGATTTTTTTCTCCTCATATTATCCTTAACCGAGTTTAAATTGATTGTTTGAGATCATAAACGAATTCAAATTGAAAAGTTGTCAACTACAAAGTTGCATAACTTTTCAAGATCTACAACTTTCATTTTGGTTGTTTCTCCATCCGAGGTTGTTTGAAAAATTTAAATTTCTAATTTGAGAAATTTAAACGTAGTTTTCCTTGACAAGATGACTTTAAATGAAAAAGTTGTCAACTATAAATG